CCTGATTTAACATCTCGTCGGGCGGAGGTGTATGCAGCTAGGTATGTAGAACAACTATATTTACCCAAATCAGCAACACACTTACATTCCCTTTATGCGTACAAGGAAGTAGAGTATGGATACAACGGTTTCTCTTATCGCTCTTTGTTAACATTCCCATTCGAGGCTGAATGCGTGTTTGCTTTCTTCGATTTACAAATTATAATTTTATACAACTTTATATTTTTAAATCAAAAACTTTTTTTCTTGTGTTTTTGTTCAAATGTAGAATACACATAGAAATACTCTATATTTTAAATTAAAAATTTTTCAGTTCCATTTTCATGTGTCAGTCTTTTTTAGTAGCACATTCTTAATTACTAATTACTAAAGAAAATTTACAAACCAACTAACTTCACAATGATGTTCACACAATGGCTTTTGTTTTTTCATCATTTATCCATTCTAGGCGTAATGCATGACCCTGGGTAAAGGTCACACATCCTGGCTCTGTTTGAGATCATTATTTTTATACATCAGCAATATTTTCTAGTATTAGGTTAGAAAAAAAAAATTTTTGTGACTTTTTTAACTTTTTTTTTCTTATTTTCTTGTTTCTGTTCACTGTATCCCTATACATGTATTATTTTGGACGCCATAGCAACAACATTGTTGATGACTGGTTTGCTATGCGCATCTCATTGCTACGTTATTGGAATTAAACCAAAGAGATTTCAAACTACTACTGAGGAACATGTAGAATATCAATAGAAATGCAATTTTATTTCAATTTATTTCATCCAAATGTATAAATTGCTGTATAACAAATGGCAAAGTTAAAGAATGGTGGTCGTCACGCCACACATGCACGAGATATGGTCTCATATGACTTTCATTGTAGCGCAGACCACATTTTACAAACTAAAATGTTATCAAGCTTTACCTGTATCTAGGTAATTTTTCTACTTGCTCTACAATTATAATTAAACAAAATACTAGTATAAATGACTAAAGTAATGGTCATAGTCGCTGCTATGTGTCTAGTGCTTGTCATAAGAATTTTTTGAATAATTAAAAAATCAATATTGAAAACTTTTCTACCTATAGTACTATTGGCATTCTTGGGGACTTTAATAGCAGGGTAGGTTCTTTAGCTGACTATGAGGACAATGACATGGATAATTTCATTCCACCTGGTCAAATTTATATACATGTAAAGAAGACCTCATTCCCTGTAATAGTAAAGATTAAACTGTCAAACTCTTATAGAATTATGTAAAAATAATGGTATACATTTACTTAATGGTAGATTACCTGGAGATACCAGTTGAAAAATAACTTGTTACCATTATAATGGTGTCAGTACAGTTGACTATGCTATTGTATCATTGAATTAATAGAAAATAAATAATATTTGAAACTACATGTAATGCAGATCACTGCCAAATCTTATTCTTAATTAATTTGAATAAAAATATCAAGAGAGAGTATATTAATAGAAAACACTTAAAGGCCCGAGCAGGGTATACCGGATATTTGTTCTAAACAAGAAAGATAATTTTTTTTATATTTTTTTTATATAATTTTGTTTATTTCTACTATATAAAACATTACAAAACTCAAAAGAAAAAGTCAAGGTCACACTAAAGTACGTAGCCATTTGATGACAGATAAAGAGAAATTAACTTTAAAAAACAAAACAAACAAAAAACTTGGTACATGTACATATATGCACTATATATTTTGGAGTTTCAATTTTATTCTATAATACCATTTGCATACTTAATTTGGATTTTTTTGCTATTAAAAGAAAGATTATTTCCTTGTGTATGCTTGCAGCTCCAGCCAAGCTGGTAAAATTGTGTTTCCTTCAAATTGTAGATTGATTATGTCATAGCAAAGTAGATGTATGTGACTATAAATATCAAAGCAGTTATTGTATTTTGTATTTATTACAATAAGTAATGTATAAATTTTGTCAAATAGAGATCAATAAATCATGAACCGGGAAACAGACGCAGTGCTAAATTTGTATAATTAACGGCTGCCTATCAATGTCATGTGACATGGATATGCTGAAACAGGATGTGTTAATTAGTCTAATCTTTACAAACATTTAAATAATTTCTCAGAATATATCACTGTAACACAAAATAATACTATTTCATAGTGTCATAGGACAATAGCTTAATGATTTCACATCATAAACCAATAAACTTTGTCATACAATTTTCTCCAACTTTCTCTAAAATTATGAGTGGGCTTCTACCTTAATTTTATTACAAACATCTATAAGGGTATTTCTGGTTTGATGTACCGTAATACATGTTGGTACCTCAGATAGACCTCTCTCAGATTTGGTTATTTCATGATGATATCTTCAATTTTCTAGTTTTGATGAATATTTTTGTCATTTTTGGTGAAAAGTGATATTTTTGAATTCTTGTTGAAAACAGCAAGTCCCATTGCCTTTATGCTATACATATTGTTCATTTTCTAATATATCTTTATTTGAAATATGCATTGCTAACAGCAGAGCTATCTCAGCCGAGAGGCTGCTTGTTTAAAACCCTGATTTTTTAAAATAATTTAGCATAGCAATAAGTACACCATTATTCACAATATATAATTTTTTAGCATATGTCTACATATTATCCCTGCCATAGGAACCTATGATAAAAGCTTCATACTGACAAAATTGCCACTACTAGTATCCACTGAAATACAAACATTATTTTCCTGAAAATTGAGCTGATGAGCCCCAACTTTTTTAGCTCTGCTGTCATCAAGGTGACCAAGCGGAGCTCATGGTTTGACTGGACCTCTTGTCGTCTGTCCGACGTATGTAGTATGCTGACATTTTTTCAAGCGACTTCTTCTCCAAACCATAATCTACATCACCTTGCTTGCTGTGTTCAGCTACCTGGGGTGGTCCTCTGTCAGATTTGTTAATTTCATGACATTACATCCAAATCTCCATTTTTAGGGAATATATTTGTCATTTTGAGTCAACAACTGCTTGTCAGATTGCATTGAAATTTGGCATGAATGTTCTTGAGATGGACTAGACTTTGACTTACCAATTTCACAAGACAATATGCAAGTGTCTATTTGTTTTTTTGCATATTTTTGATCTCTCCAAAACCACCTGCCAGATTGCTGATTTTTAATGTAGATACATGGACAGGTCCTCCTTCAAATTTTTTCATTTGGTGAAGATATCTCTATTTTTGTGAAAGTTATGAATTTTTTTTGTGCATATTTTTTTTATTTTTCCCACTTTCCCATACATTATATATGGGCTATGTATAATACATGGACTGTAATAGACAAGTGTATTGTTGGGTTCTGAACTACCAGGGCCAATGTTTTTCAATAATATTTAATTTCAGGTCAAGGTCATTTCAATGTTTTTCATGTTTTGCTGCTATTAGACAATTTTAAGAGTTGGAAGGCAGTCTTTTTCAGTACACATGGTGTTGGGTATTCAAAAGTGCAGTTCCTGTTTGTCACATTGATTGACTTTCACGAGTTTGTGTTAACATAATTCATGATGTGGTATTTAAAACTGTGTCAAGTGATATATTTTGTGTCGCAAATTGTACCATAAATGTGGCTTATGTGTCAAAGCCTTAGTTATAGAATGACTATGAGTTTTTTTTTTTATTTTATGTAATGATGGACAATTGTGATTGATTAATTTAAATTGAAAAACATTTCAGTACACTACATTGAAAGAAATGTTTAAAACATTTATAATTTTGGTTTTTATATATGCTAATTGTCTTGTGTATACATTTCCAAATCTGCCAAATATGGAAAATGATATTTGTGGATTTTTTCGATTTAGTAATCTATTTAATATCAAAATACAACTTCCTTACGAATTTCAAAACAAGTTGTTCTAACCCCACAAATGCATTTTGTATGACCGAATTAGACTATTCACTAGTAATTGGGACAGAAACTTACGCTACACTTATATGCGCCCGTTGTGGAAACTGTAATGGACTACGTACAAAATGTAAGGCGCAAAATCTTTCTTGTTTTGACATTCAATATTAACATAAATATTGAAAAATATGCCCAGTAAACAATATCCAAGACAAAATATGCCCAGTAAACAATATCCAAGACAAAATATGCCCAGTAAACAATATCCAAGACAAAATATGCCCAGTAAACAATATCCAAGACAAAATATGCCCAGTAAACAATATCCAAGACAAAATATGCCCAGTAAACAATATCCAAGACAAAATATGCCCAGAAACAATATCCAAGACAAAATATGCCCAGTAAACAATATCCAAGACAAAATATGCCCAGTAAACAATATCCAAGACAAAATATGCCCAGTAAACAATATCCAAGACAAAATATGCCCAGTAAACAATATCCAAGACAAAATATGCCCAGTAAACAATATCCAAGACAAAATATGCCCAGTAAACAATATTCAAGACAAAATCATTCTGCCAAACAATCATTGTGATTTCATGGACACTTTTAGTATGCAAAAAATGTAGATGTTTTTTTGAACAAATCTTTAAAATAACATATTCAACCAGCTGACCAATTTTAACACATTTTGAACTTTTCAAAATGAAACCAATGTTTTAATAGTTTCACAGAGAATAATAGAGACAGAAACATTGAGTCGGCCACACAAGTGTCACAACATATTGGAACGAAATAGACCATAGTTTCACAGAGAATAATAGAGACAGAAACATTGAGTCGGCGACACAAGTGTCACAACATATTGGAACGAAATAGACCATAGTTTCACAGAGAATAAGAGACAGAAACATTGAGTCGGCGACACAAGTGTCACAACATATTGGAACGAAATAGACCATAGTTTCACAGGGAGAGACATCATGCAGAATAACTGTCGAAATGTGACATATTTGAAACTTATTCGTAAAATGGGTTTCATTCTTGATGAAAACATCGAAATCTCGACCAAACCACTGTGACCGCATAACCCGAAAAGTCACCTTGTTTTTCGAACTGCCATTACAAGTGTTGTCCCACTAATTCAGCTGATTGACACCTGACAGACCGGGGATAGAGGGACTGGTTATAACTGTTAATTAAATTTTGTGTTATTAAATGGGAACATTAAACAAACAAATCTATGTTGCCTATTCCTCAAAGTTTGGTACCTACTAATTAAAATTTTGGTTTCTTATTGTAGACACTCAACAAAAAACAATAATCTAATTTTTCAAAAGTGGGTTTCCAAAATATGGGTTGGTCATTTAATGCCCATAACAATTTAACATGCAAAATAAAAACGTATAATCAAGACGCTAACCAGTTTTTTGATAGGTTAACTCTCTTTGTACATGTATTAATATTTCTCAAAATATATGTTTGTCCACAGTCCCTCTATCCCCTGTCTGGAAACGATTAGCGTTCTTTTGTCTTGAACCGCGGTGCGGGTAAACAAATCGTTCACACCCGGGCCGAGGGAGTCAGGAAGTCAGATAGATTACAGTACCGTCAAAATATTCTTTAAAATCGGGAAATTTACCGTCATGCAAAGCGATACCTCATTGTATGACTTCACTTTCACTTCAAATTCGGGCAACCACAACGTAAACAAACATGTAAACAAAATTTTCACTATGAAATATGTGTTTTTTTTGAACCCATCACAACCAGCCTACCAACTCATAAATATCCAGTTCCCGCAATGCAAAGATTAATATCTGGAATTATGTTCATTTTCTCGTTTTAATAGGGAAAAAACCTTGTGTGCCAACATACTGACATTGCTAAACAAATCTTGTCAAAATGGTGTCGTTCATGTTAACGTAGTCGATCGAAAAACCTGTGATATTTCTGATTCTTGGGGGGTTCATAACAGTTCACTAATGACTTTATTCTATGCAAAAGTATATAACAATGCTTCAATGTTTGTGTATAAATGATTTTTTTAGCACAGAATTGAGTACATTGTCATTTCAAAACGTCGCCATTTGCATTTATGATCTAAAAAGCATCCATAAAAGTCGCTCAATTTAACATTAATAAAATGCAGTGTGACAAATAACAAATCAGCCCACCAATTTTTAATGATATGTTTCGATCATAAAATGTCAAAATTGAAGACAAATATTGGTTTCGCACCGAGAAGTATGGTAAATAAAATAGAGTTCATTTCAATCACTCCAAAATCAAAAACGACAAATATCTAGGTAAAGACATGAAAATTTGTTGCGAAAATGTGTCGCTGCTGGTAAAATAGATGAATTAAAGAACTACTCGCCGGCTAAAATTTGACCTTGTACAGATATCCTGATTAAAAAATTATGTGAAAAAGCACGAATTCTGGAATAAAGAATTAAGTTGTAAAAAAATACATAACACTGACGATGTCAAAAATAGTGGCCGGCTGCGTACTGATCACGTTACAATGCTTTGCCCATACCCGCAATGCGCCTTTGCCAGGGAAGGAGGCCAATTCACACCTAATACAATGATCGTTTCCAGACCGGGGATAGAGGGACTGTGGTTTGTCGTACGACTTTGCAATTGTCTTGCAATTTCTGTATGTGACATGACATGACATGACATGACATGACATGACATGACTTGACTTGACTTGACTTGACTTGACTTGACTTGACTTGACTTGACAAGACTTCATGAAAGACCTTCATTGATATTGACTTATGTAATGAGGTGTTGTAATCTGTATTTTTGACCAATAATTTTGCAAGTCAGTCATGATCATTTTTTTCACTGTGTGCACTCTATTGTATTAACGTATTTGCACTTCGTGCTTTATGCATCAGCACTCTATTTTGTTCTCGTCCGCCTTATGTTCTTTTCTAAACATGTGTGCCACACTTCTTACATACCTTGTATAACACACTGTTTGCATATACATGTACTTCACTTTATAAATACTTATGTTCTTTTCTAAACATGTGTGCCACACTTCTTACATACCTTGTATAATACACTGTTTGCATATACATGTACTTCACTTTATAAATACTTATGTTCTTTTCTAAACATGTGTGCCACACTTCTTACATACCTTGTATAACACACTGTTTGCATATACATGTACTTCACTTTATAAATACTTATGTATATACTGTCAAGTGAAGTATCAGTGTATAGTACAGCTTCATGGATAAATCTAGTTAAGCTTTCTATGCTAGTGAACATTCCAGCATTTTCTTATTTTGAAATTCCATGTAATATTTACTTATTTTATATTATCCAGCCTAAAGTAAATGTGAAAGCATTTGCAGCCATGCTTGAGAATAGTGGACAAATTGGATTCAAGCCGCCACCATCGTCATCATCATCAGGACCGAAAACAAATGGGAACAAACCAGCAATTTCACCAAGACAGAATGAAACCCCTAAAAAAATTAATCCACCGGGAGTTGCAGCACCATTTGGGCGCAATACGCTGAACAACCGCATTTCTGTGTTGAAAAAAACCTCAAATGCTAATGAGGATGCCACACTAAGTAAGAATGGAGAGACAGAGATAAAGATTATAGCTGCTAATAAGAAACCACCTATCGTACCACGTACTATAAATTCAGAAGCTGTGAAAAAGCCCATTGTATCACCTCCAGCATCGCAATCTCCGATGAAAAATGAAGCTCCAGTTCGAGAACAAGAAAATGCTGTTAAAAATGATGCCAGTGATGTGGTTGCCAAGGAGGACAAAGACAATCTGGAAGGGATACAGATGAAGAAGAAGTTGGTACCTATAAATGCCAAAACCAATAAAAGATCATCAAAAATCAGGCCAAAAGAGAATCCTGTTCCACCTGAAGGCATATTGGGCAAGGCACCCGCAAAACCGGAAAAACCACCTATTATTTTGGAATTGAAGAGGGATACATCTGGTAAGATTCATGTATGATCTAAACTAAATTTCTTATATATGGTCTAAACTAAATTTCCTATGTATGATCAAACTAAATTTCTTATGTATGGTCTAAACTAAATTTCCTATGTATGATCAAACTAAATTTCTTATGCATGGTCTAAACTAAATTTCCTATGTATGATCAAACTAAATTTCTTATGTATGTTCTAAACTAAATTTTCTATGTATGATCAAACTAAATTTCTTATGTATGGTCTAAACTAAATTTCCTATGTATGATCAAACTAAATTTCTTATGTATGGTCTAAACTAAATTTCTTATGTATGGTCTAAACTATATTTCCTATGTATGATCAAACTAAATTTCTTATGTATGGTCTAAACTAAATTTCCTATGTATGATCAAACTAAATTTCTTATGTATGATCTAAACTATCGTTTTTGACTCCCGTGTGCGAAGCACAAAAAGGGAGTACCCGGTATTTGCAGTTAGTGTGTCTGTGTGTCTGTGTGTCTGTGTCTGTTCCACTGATATCTCAAGAACAATACATTGATTTTTGATGAAACTTGGTGCATAGATGCTCTGGACCAATGCGCAGATTGGATTAGGTTTTGGTAAAAATCCATGCATATTAATTACCTAATTTGCATGATAATTAGCTGATTTTTAGCTGTTCTATGATTGTTCCACTGATATCTAAAGAACCACTCATTGGATTTTGATGAAACTTGACACATAGATGCTCTGAACTAATGCACAGATTTGATTAGTTTTGAGTAAAAATCCGTGCAATATTAATTACCTAATTTGCATAATGATTAATAAATTTTTGGCTTTTCCACTGGTATCTCAAGTACTAATCATCACATTTCAATAAAACTTGGTACATAGATATCATAGGACACTGCACAGACCTGATGGTTTTTAGGGTAATATGAGTACATATTAATTACCTAATTTGCATAATTAATTAATTTTCAGCTTTTGATATTTCAAGTAGTAATCATCACATTTCAATGACACTTGGTACATAGTTACTTAAGGACTGTGCAGACCCCTGATTAGTTTTTGGGTAAATATTTGTGCATATTAATTACCTTATTAGCATAATTAGTTAATTTTCAGCTTTTTGCCTGATATCTCAAGTACTAATCATCATATTTCAATGAGACTTGCTACATAGATCTTCTAGGACTATGCAGAGACCTGATTAGTTTTTATTGGATATAAATTACCTAATTTGCATAATGTTCCACTGATATATAAAGAACCACGAATTGGATTTTAATGAAACTTTTAAAGAGAACTATGCAGAAACCCAATTAGTTTTTGGTAAATATTTATGCTTATTAATCACCTAATTAACATAATTAATTAACACTGATATCTCAATTACTGATCATCACATTTGAATAAAATTTGATACATAAATGCTCTAGGACAATAGACAGACCTGATTAATTTTGGATTAAAATTTGTTCATATTAATTCTCTAATTCGCATAATAATTCATAATTTGTTTTGTTTTGTTCTGTTCTGTTCATATTAGTTACCTGATTTACATAATTAGTTTTCAGTTTTTCTATTAATATCTCAGGTACAAGTAATTTTTAATTAATTTTTAATGTGTCTTCAATACTCTCAGCACACGGGAGTCCTTTCTAAGCTTTCTTTGATTTTGATTTATTGTCAATTAGTGCTTGTTAGTTAGTTAGTTTTTAGTTTCTGCATGGTCTCCACTTTTCATTGATGCTATTAATATGAAACAATATTAATCAGGGATACTGTGTGATTGGTGATTTCTAGTAAATTCTAGTAGATACTCACACCAGGAAATAGTTGGGGAATCCCAGAAATTGGTATCTTGGATGAGATACTGAACAACTACACAGAGCTGGATTTTGAATCCAGGATGGTGTCAGCTCTGTCTTTTTTAGCTCCGCTGTCGACTTTGTCGAGCGGAGCTTATCATATGAGTGATTGTCCGTCGTCGTCGTCCGTGTCAATGTTTTACTTTTTCGACTTCTTCTTGAAAACTACAAGCCTGAATGCTTTGATACTTGATGTATATGTACCTTGGGTAGACCTCTCTCAGATTTGTTCATTTCATTATGATATCTTCAATTCTCTAATTTTGGTGAATATTTTTGTCATTTTTGGTAAAAAGTGATATTTTCAACTTCTTGTTAAAAACCGCAAGTCCAATTGCTTTGATATTACATATATAGCTACTACATGTGGACCTCTCTCAGATTTGTTCATTTTGTAATGATATCTTTAATTCTCTAATTTTGATGAATATTTTTGTCATTTTTGGTAAAAAGTTATATTTTCAACTTCTTGTTAAAAACTGCAAGTCCAATTGCTTTGATATTACATATATAGGTACTATATGTGGTCCTCTCTCAGATTTGTTCATTTTGTAATGATATCTTTAATTCTCTAATTTTGGTGAATATTTTTGTCATTTTTGGTAAAAAGTGATATTTTTGACTTCTTGTTGAAAACCGCAAGTCCAATTGCTTTGATATTACATATATAGGTACTACCGGTACATGTGGACCTCTCTCAGGTTTGTTCATTTTGTGATGATATCCTCAATTTTCTAATTTTGGTGAATATTTTTGTCATTTTTGGTATAAAGTGATATTTTCGACTTCTTGTTAAAAACCGCAAGTCCAATTGCTTTGATATTACATATATATCTACTACATGTGGACCTCTCTCAGATTTGTTCATTTTGTAATGACATCCTTAATTTTCTAATTTTGGTGAATATTTTTGTCATTTTTGGTAAAAAGTGATATTTTCGACTTCTTGTTGAAAACCGCAAGTCCAATTGCTTTGATATATTATACATATAGGTACTACATGTGGACCTCTCTCAGATTTGTTCATTTTCTAATGATATCTTCTGTTCTTTAATTGCCATGTGCATTGCTAACAGCGGAGCTATCTCAGCCGACAGGCTGCTTGTTATCCTACACATACGGTAATATATGTCTTATTTTATTTTCTCAGCCCCTCTACCACCTCCTCCTGACAGTGATTCAGAAGGAGAATTGTACGATGACGTGGAAACTGATGCAAGAGTGTCAATGATGTAAGTTTTTAAATCCAGTGTGCAAAGCACACAATGGCAGTCTTTGTAGTTAGTTTGACTGTATGTGTGTGTGTTCTCTGTCTGTTTCACTGATATCTTAAGAACCATATGTTGGTTTTTATGAAATTTGATGATTAGATGCTCTGGGCTAATGCGCAGATTTGATAAGGTTTTGGTTAAACCATGCATATTAATTACCTAATTTGCATGATAATTAGCTGATTTTTAGGCGTTCCATGACTATTCCACTGATATCTAAAGAACCACTCATTGAATTTTGCAGGTATTTAAAATGCCAAAAAATGACCATGCTCACGTAATTCTCACGTACGTGAGTTAGACCGGAAATCGGCCAAACTCACGTGTGCGCGTGAGAATGGGTGTTTTTACGTGTGTTCTCACGTAACACAGTACACTTCAAGGGTGACAAAGATAAATGCGTGAACGTGCGTGAGAAT